GTTGTTAATTTAGTGATTTACGTAAGTTCTTTCTCGGGAACGGTGTTATTTTCTAATTTTTCGGAACTATAGCACAACGAAAGTCATCAACCCTGTATATATGTGATATATCCGGGAAGAAATTACTCACTTTTTTCTCGTAGAAAACAAGTAATTTATGAAAAGTGACATTTTATAACCTGCCAACTGAGATGAAATTTCAAAATGTTTTTCCGTCACAGAAAAAAATTGTATTTTATTAATATATTATGTAATACCACTTAGGATATTCTGATGAAATTTGGCATGCATGTACTATGTATCAAGAGGCATCAGTTAGTGTTCCACCAGTGGCGTTCGTATAGACTTTCACATAACTATTCTGGCAGGCAGTGATGGTACGCCATTGATTGATCTCGAAATGGAAATCATACCTGAAATTCTCAATCATTTCTTAGCAAATTCATTCTCTACAATTTTTACAATCTGATACACTGTTTTCGCTTGAAAAAAATAAACCTTTTCACTGCATCGCAATGCAGAGAAGTAAGTTTTATTAGTTTGGTCAGGAATACAATTCATGTGCTCAACAAAATACAGCGTGGCTGAAAAAATGTTTTCAATCAAATGAAATGAACTAAATTTCAATCGATAATAATATATGAATGATATATATATATTCGTATTCAGTTTGACAGGCTTTATATGAAATTATGAAATAAAATATAGATCATTGAGCCTTGTTGATTATTAAAAAGTGAGCACAGATTCAAAATATTTGTAAAAATCATTCCAGGAAAGTTATTGAATGATCGAAATATATGTTGAGAATCACGAGGATGAAAAGGAGTGACATATTCAAGTGGGACACCCTGTACTGGTCGACTTGTTGGGATGAATTCCTCCTAAATCTTGTATACTATGTGTGATTGAAAGTGTTACCAACTCATTATAGTGTGCATATATATTTTTTTTCAAGTAAGTCGTTTCAATGGAATGATACTCCATGTTATCCACTCCTTCTTTCAAAATTTGTGAGAGTTTCACAAGAGAATATAAATAGTCACCTCACTACTAAGTTCTTGCAGATGCATCTTTCATCAAACGTTGCATGAGAAATTTTCAAATGATTAACAAAATTAATGATAAATTGAAGGAGTCTTTAATTGGTGAGCAAACGACATTAAAAGAGAACAAACTATTGTCTCTACTAAGTCCTGAATGATTAATGCAAAGCATATAACGTTAATTGATTCAATAACTAATTCATTAACTGAGAGGCTCAGAATCAGAATGACCCTAACAGCAATTGAGTTCATTAACAAAACAAAAATGTAATTAGTAGAGTTAAATTCATTAGAAGAATTGAAAACGTCTTATTTTTGTCCCCAGCCAATTTATTGTGGTCGTCTCTTTGTATTGGTAATTAACTAAGGAACTAAGGAAATAATCCAGATCCAGAAGAGAGTTATAATATACAATATAAAATATGCTGAAACGTGCAGAGGTACCTTCAGATCAAATAAGATAATGACCATATTTGCTCTATATATTTATGAATGTGTCATACATCTATATAAAAATAAAATGAATTCCACACAAAGTAATAATAACAGATACCCCATTCGGAACAGTAATTTCACTTTTCCAACATATAGGTTGATTTCAACAGAAAAGCTTCCGGATTATTCAGCAATTAGTTTGTTCAATAAATTACCAAATGAAATGAAAGTGATTGATAGTTTGAAAAAATTCAAGAATCATCTGAAAAACTGGCTTACTGAACTAGAACCGTATTCTTTAGATGAATATTTGAGCGTAAATATCTAAATTCAACTAATTTATTTATTTATTTTGTTTTGTGACACTGTTTCATTCTTTGTTATCTGTTTTATATAAAATGTGAACCTTTTTTTTAAATAGGGTATATTATTATTAACTGTGGATTAGCCTATTCGTTTTTTCATCGTCATTTTTATGTTTCAATGTGGAATGTAATGGAAATCCAATATGCCGGCAGATTTTTTCTTCATCTGTATACTTCTAGCGCTAAGTCGTTGGGTAATATGGAGCCTGAAGTATAAACAAATATCCGTAATAAACGTTTACAATGTAAATATTATGGGGTTCTCCAGAGTGAAACTTCAAAGTGTTGACAGACCTAACGTTTTTTTCAAGATTACCGTTTATATTTGAGAATATTTACAAATCCGTCATGACAAGCTCACTCAATCTTTATTTCGCATTTTCTCTGATGTAAATCCGACTTCTTGTTTGTTTATTTATCTCTCAATGTTTTGCTGAATCAGAGATTCCCTTTTTATATTGAAGAAGCATTATTATTCATCGATTTCTCAGTATTTCTCAGCAGAATGAAATTTATATTGATAACTCGACATTCAAGAAACATTGACAATGGTTGTCATAGAACTTTCTTCCATCTTGTTGTGTTCACAATTATTAGGCGGTTGGCAAATAACACCTTACAGAGATTATATACACTCCCTTATACAGGGTGTCCAATTGGGAAACGAAAAAACACAACCATTGCTACAATTTTCATTGAGACCTATTAGTAGAGTGCCAATCGAATCCTATCGTTCACCCCGTGGGAAATCGGAGGTAAAAAGCTGTGACATGGTTAGAATTGTTACCTACCATCCAGATCATGGATCCACTTGTCGTCAAAAAATCGTCCTGTGCGTTTGGGGGGTAGGGGGTAATTAAATAATATGGTTTTTTTTTTCGTTGAAAATGCAATGAAATGTACTCACTAAAATTGCAATCACGAGTCCAATCTGGATCAGTATTGGGGATACAGAGTGTAAAAAGTCAAGGTTTTTTTTTTCAGTTGAATAAAATTTGAGCGAAACATAGGCAAAATTAACATGTTTTAGAAGTACGTATATGTTTATTTATCTCAAAAACGGTTCGTTTCTCGAAAAAAATTGGTGAGCAAAAAATGCCTCTAAATTGAACGATCTACACAATTTGATCACTGAAAGATGTCAGAGGCGTACTACGAAAAAGTTTGGAGGGGATAAAGAAGACTACCTCCAAAAACGTATCACCCAGTAGATTTTGAAAATCTTCAAAATGTTTGAAATGATGATCTTCTAAGAAGTATTGACTAGACCGAATTTCAAAATGATATCTTGAGAAAAAAGCGAGATATTTCAATTAATAGAAAAAAATAATTAAACTGTGACCCCCTGTAGCTCCGCTACTGAACGAGATCGGACTAATGTTTATGTGAACTTTTTTGATTAAAATGATGAGATCTATCTTCCATTTCAGTTTGTGCCTTAAAACCTGATTCACCCTGTATATAATTCAATGTTCGACGTGGCAAATAGCCAGGAAAGTAGTTGTTTTCTGTTGAATAAACCGAGAAGAAATTGATATTTTCTTCACATAGAGAATGCGAATTCTCAAAGTATTCCTTCAAATATAAATCAATTTCTATATATTTATATTTATTCTTGGAAATATTAGTGGGATGCAGTCTGGACCAATGAATTAATTAGATTTCTTCGTTATTTGTCGAGCTTTCGAAAATTTTTATTTTCTTTATCAAGACTAACTGAAAACATCGAATGGAACAATAATATTAAAATATAAATGTACATCAAATGAAATTGGTATACTTACAAACATGAAATTCTATATAAAATTAGCACAAAAAGGAAACATAGGTGTATAAATAAAAATGAAATGATTTGACAAAAAAATGTCATAGATGATGGATGACTCATTTGAAGATGTTGAATACAGAGTGAGATGAATACTGATATATATAAAAATACTGATATATAAAAAATGTTTGTAGATTAGGTATATATAAAACAAGGAGGACGAGTTGATTTATTATCTTTTTGTTTCTTTAGAAGGAATGTATAAATGGTACTAATAGACCAGGCCCATAAGCAGGAAATCCATCTCTATAAAGTGCAAGAAGCATTTCATGTAACAATTGAGGAAACAACGTTATTAAGGTATTTCGACCCCGCTGAATACGAATCTGCCTGTTGCCAAAGCGAACTTTGGACCGGAAGTCCGGTATCCAAGATGGCGGCCGAGATGGTGGTCAAAACACTGTTGCCCCATATCTTCATCTTCGGTTGGCTCGAAATATTGATTTAAACGCCGGCTTAGTGGTTTTCTCGGATGCTTATCATATTGAAATGCTCAGAAATTACTTGCCCTGAGCCTGGAGTGCGTGGGTTCCAAAATGGCGACCAAAATGGTCGCCGAAAATCTATTGTTTACGTATTCTTGTATTTGGAGTGTAATATCTGTCAGATATACAATTTTTTAGTGGTTAAATATATACTGACTATTACTGTATTTGTGACATATTATGGCTTGAAAACTCCTTGGTAGATAGAGAAATAGAGGGCAGATCCTCTGGTACTTGTGCATCTCGGAGGACCCAGTTGAGATGCCTAAGTAGATTATAGACGGTCAAGCTTTAGTAAACAGCATAGGGAAACCAGCAACTGCCACTACTTTCGGAGACCTCGCTGCAATATTCATTGACAGGGTGGTTCACCTTGGAAGACCGTATGCTAGAGTCGACATCCTTTTTGACAGGTATCATCCCAAGTCAATCAAAAGTTGGACCCGCTGCAGACGGACCAGGGGAGCTGCTCCAGTCAGAAGGGACATCACAAGTGCAGTCAATCAACTGCCAAAAAATTGGAAGAATTTTCTAGCACTGGGGGATAACAAGGCTGACCTAGCCCGCTTTCTCTCTCAGGAAGTTCTCCAACATGTCTTTAATGACATCGAAGTTGTTGTCTCCGAAGGACTCATACATGAAGAGGATGTGCGATCAACCAACCCCGAATCCGACGTCAGTTCCCTAGCAGCGACACATGAAGAGGCCGATACACGCGTTGTACTACATGCTGTCCACTCTGATGCTGACAACATCGTCATCATGGCCAGGGATACCGACATAATTATGTTTGCTGTTGATCCATCACTTTGACAAAATGACCAGTTCTAAAGTGTGGATGATGAATGGCACAGCGAAAAACAGGAAGTATCTCCCAATACATGAGATTTGCAACATTCTCCCTAATGTTCGAAAGAAGAACATCTTGGCGTTCCACGCAGTTACGGGTTGCGACTCGACGTCTCACCTTGCAACGATAACGAAGAAAGCAGCGTGGAAAGTCTTCAATGGAACGACCTGCCAACTTTCAGACAACCTAGGGCACTCTCCGCTAACTCCCTCATCAAAGGCGAATGCAGAAAAGTTTCTCGTTCAGCTCTATAAGGTCGGTAAAGTTTTTTCAGGTGTTTCAGCAAGTCCAAATATCAATTAAAACGTTTCTATTTCTCTGAACAGGTGACTAAAGATGTATCTAGCAGGGATGAAGCCAGATATCAACTTTTTGGTGTTGTGAAAAAGCCAGAAGCCTTACCTCCAACAAGCGATGCGCTGCGGCTACACCTCCTAAGATGCCATTACCAGGTAAAGAAATGATAGGAAGCATACTGTGATCAGTATAACCAGTTGCTTTTCGGTAATTATAATAAAAAACATTTCAGGTGAACGTGTGGGAAAATGTTCATCATGTCCGACCGGAGGTGATGGATAATGAGTCATATGGGTGGAGGCTTCATCAAGACGAGTACAATCCCATCCTTATGACACTTGAGCCCGTTCCCAAAGCTTGCACGGATATATTAACCTGTAATTGTTTGTCCCATCACTGCCTGACAACAATGTGCACGTGCAAGAAGAATGGACTGACTTGCACCAAGTTGTGCCACCGCTCTCACCAATGTCTTAACTCTTCAAATGGTTGATTAATTATCATTTTTGTATTATTGCCATCAGCTACCGAACTATTTTTTCATTATCTTTCCACAATCCCATGCACTCATAACTTGAGGTGAGTAAATTTCAAGCACTGCAAGTCAACGGACATGGAAGATATGGGGCAACAGAGTTTTGACCACCATCTCGGCCGCCATCTTGGATACCGGACTTCCGGTCCGAATTTCGCTTTGGCAACAGACAGATTCGTATTCAGCGGGGTCGAAATACCTTAAAAACGTTGTTTCCCCAATTGTTACATGAAATGCTTCTTGCATTGTTAATTTTTGAAAACGTGCCTAGTCTATAAGATCGTTGATGTCTGTTCTTTTGTTCATCGTTTTATCATTTTCATTAATATGTACCATTTCAAGAAAGAGGCGATCTTAGTACCATTTATACAATCCTTCTAAAGAAACAAAAAGATAATAAATCAACTCGTCCTCCTTGAATGATTCATGTTTTATATATAACCTACAAACATTTTTTATATATCAGTATTTTTATATATATCAGTATTCATCTCACTCTGTATTCAACATCTTCAAATGAGTCAACCATCATCTATGACATTTTTTTGTCAAATCATTTCATTTTTATTTATACACCTATGTTTCCTTTTTGTGCTAATTTCATATAGAATTTCATGTTTGTAAGTATACCAATTTCATTTGATGTACATTTATATTCTAATATTATTGTTCCATTCGATGTTTTCAGTTAGTCTTGATAAAGAAAATAAAAATTTTCGAAAGCTCGAAAAATAACGAAGAAATCCCACTAATATTTCCAAGAATATTATTATAGAACAGTCACGAAAGCTTCCCCTTGTTATTTATATTTATATATGACAATATTCCTTTTCAATACTTCCACCCAATCAAATTTGAACGATTTTCATTTTAACTCCCTCATATCGTGGTGTAAAGTTTACGTTGTACCACCCTGTAGGTATGTATAATATGTATGAGTCTTGTTTCCCCAAAAAGTGCTGAACGTGCCTAAAGAAGTTTTCACTTCAAAAAATCAAGTGGTCTGCTGAACTTAACAACAAAACCCACATTTACCGTAATTGGAACCTTCCCAAAGAGGAAATGAAGACATAGACCACTTGCCTTGTGTCCTTGCGTCCTATATTATTAAAATCGACAATATAATACTAGAATCCCAAACTTCCGCCCTAGAGACTTATGAAATTCAATATCATGAGCATCAACGCCACATGTTTTTCTGGTTAGCCACAAATTCCGCTTATTGCGAGCCATCAGAGCAAACAACCACATGTTCGAATGCAGGAAGAGAATCTCAGTAAAGTGGTCGGCAAATATAGGCTTGTCGCCAAAATCCTATAGATAGAAATATTACTTTTCCGGAACACATGGTACAGACACATCCACATGCCATAATTCAGAAGCCAAATGCAATATCCTCGATCCTCACATACATGCTGTGATTTACGGTTAACAAGTGCTGCTTTGTCTAGCAGATATAATAATAATAATTACTGATAGAATTTATTAAATCCTTCACGATCATAAAAAATGACATTGAATACGTCAGACAACAAGAAATTCACACATACGCAAGCATGCCTTTTCTCTAGAAAAGCCGATCATACTGTGCCCAACATAAGCTTTTCAGGTGTAACCATTTCATTGAAGACATCCATTTCGATGCTTGGTATTACCTGGTATTACTATCAGCAATAACCTTTCTTGAGAAAATCACGTGAGATGTATTGCTAAAAGTGCATCCCAAAAACTACGAAGCTTTTTCACTTCCAGTCAGCTGCTTATGATCTATAAGGCACAGATCCAACCTGTCCTGGAATACTGTTCCCATATTTGAAGTGCAGCGCCCATACATACCCTGAAATTGTTGGATTCTGTCCAAATAAGGGCAATTCGTCTCGTGGGTGATGCCTCGCTCACAAACTCACTCACTTCTCTGGAACACCGTAGAAAAGTTGGCGATCTGGCTCTATTTCATAGATATTTTCATGGACGATGCTCTTCTGAAATATCAACAATTGTTCCTCCCTTGGCAGTCCCCGCGAGATCAACCCGTCGAGTTGAGGCTTCGCACCCCTTCGTGGTCACTTTGAAGACCTGCAGAACATCTCTTTTTTAAGACTCGTTCATCCAACGAACAGCGAGGCTCTGGAACACATTGCCATGAAAGGGAGGTGTTCCCGGAGGCATATAACCTCCAGAAATTCAAGAACAACACCAATTCCTACCTTATTTCCCTACCTCCCAGAACTTAAAAAAAAATTCAGTCTGTAAACTTTCCTAGTACCACGATTATTCAATTTTGCTCCCTTATAAGATGGACTATTTTCATAAAGACGCGAGTTGAATGTTTCTGAAGTCTTATCAATTCACCGAGCCTGGTAGGATACGTATGAAAGTCACAGTTTCGATCATAATTCTGCATTTGTTTCCTGAATAATAAAATAAATTTGTGAATATAAATGCAAGGTAATACACACAAGATTATATTCTCAATAAAGTGTTGCCTACCAGATTCTCTGTAGTTTATTCCATAAGAGCCGTATGACCCTTTTCTGTGAGACGAATATTTTGCTGATGAGTTTTGACGAACATCCCCAAATGGCAATATTATAAGGAATATGGAAATATTCAACAGCAAAGTGATCATTTTGAAGTTGAGCCTTATTGAAATTGGACCTCAATTGTCTAATAGCATTACCCACTGTTCACTTTCTTACTGACATGATTTATACCCGACTCCCATGTCATGTTACCATCGATAAAAGTACCCAGAAAGGTGTGTGATGGTTTAATTATAGCGCATATACAAGGTGATTCTACGACTTTTCAAGCGGATAAAAACAATCCCAATCCCTTTCAATCCCAAGTACACGAGAGGACTTGATAAGGTTTTCAAAGACTTAGGTTTTGAAAGCGTTTATCGGTCTGGGTCAAAGTTAGGCCATTTATCAGGTAATCCAAAAGATAAGACACACTTGAAAACTCAGGAATATACAAAATCAGTTGTAATGAATGTGATGAAACATATATAGGCCAAACCAGGCGTCCCGTAAAAACAAGGTACAAAGAACACTTAGCACATTTGACATATTGTAGGTTGGATAAATCGTGTGTAGCCATCATAACACACATATAAATAACCTCAAATTATTTGAGCATATTAATAATGTTAGAAAATTAGATGCATATAAAAGCTTAGAGATATTTAAGAATAGTAATAGAGTGATGAATAAGGATAATGGGCCTGTCCCATTCAGCCCTATGTATAGTTCAGTAATATAACATGTGAGAATTGGTTGGACATATTCCTAGTATAGCCCACTAGGATAGAGCATTTAGTTTTAATTTTCTCCTGAAGATGCTAACATATAGTGTCGAGGTGTAAAAAATCGGATTGGTTAGTGGTAAAACAGAGTGTAGTGTTGCAGTTAGATGAAAAATGAATGAACAACAGACGAAGTATTTCAAATGTTTCTATTCGAATCCCTGAAATATAATGGTGAAATTATAAATAGATTTTCTAAACTGTTTCACCACTGACCTAAGAGATAAGAAAAAATTAGGCATGATGAAATCGTTCGATGGCGTCTCTCTCCACGGTAGCTTGTTTCTTTTTATTCAAATATTTTGATTGCAACATTCCTCAATCAGTAAAATAAGTCACTTGATCTAAGAGTAGGTAGCTTGTTTCTTAATCAAATTCATTTCGTTAGCTTTTCATTCACTTCAGTAAATAGCAATGCTCTTGCGTTCATAAAACAAAACTTGAGATGAGGTAAGACAAAGAAGTATTTAATTTTTACAAATATGAATCAGGCATTGCATGCTGCGTATGACCTGTATACATGGAAAAACTCTATTGCATCGAACTCCCAACTGAAATTGATCATTCTCATTTTTAGATCAGATCATAGAAAATATCGTGCAATTTCCAACAGAAGATCAGATTAATTTTTTATTTTTTTCATTTTTTTTTTATTTTATTGTTTATACATCCAACAGGCCTAAAGCCCAATTACAGGAGTATATTATACTATCTTATCCAAACCTAGGTATATATGAATGACTATATGTTAGTTCAGAAGTAAATTGGATATTTTTCTCTTGAATTGTGTTAAAGTCAAGAAAAATATATCAGCATCCGTCTGTAGATTATTGTAACTTCGACACATGGAACTAACTGGACAGTTAAAGTGGTGGAGAGTATGTGGAATTGAAATACGAAAAGTTATATTCGATCTTGACGCCAACCGTGGTATATTGAAATTTAAGGAAGAAACTAGGGTTGAGCAATCAATACTGTTGTTTACAATTTTATGAATGAATATTAAGTCACTTTTCTCCCGACATTTACGTAGGGAAGGCAGATTGAATTCGTCCAGTAGTGCATTGTAATCAAATCCTCTCTGAGGATACTGTTTATGTTTTTTAAAATAAAGAAACTTCACGAATTTTCTCTGTACAGACTCTATGAGATTGACATGATTTTGTTGACAAGGGTTCCAGACCGTGCTGCAATATTCAAGTTTACTTCTGACTAGTGAGAAATATATAGTTTTGATAGCATCAAGAGACTCGAATTCCTTACAATTTCGAATCAAGAAACCCATCATTTTCATGGCTTTGGTAACAATGTTTTCAACATGATTAGAAAATGTGAGTTTATTATCAAACATGACACCAAGATCTTTAGTATTCAACACACGGGATAAAATGGTATTATCTAAAGTATAATTATATTCAATTGATTCGACATTTCGCGAGAAAGTCATTACCTTGCATTTGTTGATATTTAGATGAAGCCTGTTACGAATACACCAGTCATTTAGAGAATCCAAGTCATTTTGCAATGACACACAGTCTGATACATTCTTAACCTCTCTATATATCTTCATATCATCAGCATACAGTAATTTCTGAGAAGAAATGGAATCACAAATATCATTTATAAATAGTAGGAAAAGTAAAGGTCCCAG